AGACAAAGAAGTCATTAGACTTGGGGCAAGCTACAATAATACCTGAGAAAGTGATGGACAGTTTTGGCACTGTGTTGTTGCACCCCACCAATGTCCCTCCCTCCTGTGTGTTTTCACAGGAAAATTCACCCAACAAGGTGATAGAATATTCTGAGTGATAGGAAACATTAGGAAAAGCTTAAAAATAAAAAAGTCTATTAATATTTTCATTCTCAGAAAATTCAAACAATGAACACATGGGATACAAGTGCTACAAGATTTCTTACTAGTATGAAGCAAAAACTTATATGCATGTTCATTTTCCCCCTTTCAGAAACCAACTTATTTTTGCCTATGAAGTAATACTTCTGAGTCATTACACTTGTTACTGGAGGCTCTTCTGCACTTCTGCTCTGTTTCTTCCTTATTTTTACACTTGGGGTTTTCTTTCTTGTGCATAAACACTCATTTACCTGGCAATATAGCCTTTGTTTTTTCTTATTATTTCCTTACCCCTTGACTTTTTCTATTATGCAGTACAAGAATTTCAATAAAAAAGCTTTGCACAGCAGACTGTGCATGTATTCCCTCAGCCAAGCTATTTTAAGCTTTTGCAAGTACCTCTGATGTTTAAAGTAACCACAGTGCACCTGTATTAAGGAAAATGGGAGAAATTCAGCTCAAAGATGAGAAAATGAAATGCAGGCTATCAGAAGGTTAGGTATGAGAAAAAATGCTCTTTATTAGAAGCAACCCATTTTAAGTATAAAACACAAGGATCTGTTAACCTTTTTATGAGGAGATAGTGACTTTGTGAGGTATAGGTTTGAAAGTTCTTGTCTAAAATGTCTCTATTTTTCACTTAAGAAATGTGTTTCATGCATTATATTTTAGCACTCTGTCCTTCATTGTCCTGCACCTTCAGCAGAACCTTAAATTATGTCTGAAACGGAAGGACAAGGGGCAAAGGACATAAACTGTCTCATCCCTTTGTTTCAGTGTGTTATTTTAGCTTGAAACAAAGTAAGTAAAATGTCCACATGAATAACTGTTTTGTTGCTGATCATATTAGTGAGACCTCTAACCATTATCATTTGACCTTGCCAATTCAAAATCTAGTTTGACCCTCATTTCATGACTCTAATCTTCATGGCTTCCAAATGCAAACACCCATTGCCAATGGCAAGGGGTTGTGACATTGCAAGTTGAGAATTTAGAATCACATTCTATGATTCTCTGGGAAGAGCTCAAAGTTCTGTTTTAAAAATACAAATTTGTTAAGCTTGCTAAATCTGATTCAGAATTTGTTCATTTGCTTATTTATTTTGCTGTGTCTGCCCTAGAATATCTATTTTCTTGGTTTCAGTACCACAGTCCTACTTTGAATTTAACCTTTGCTACAGAATGAGTTAAGTCAGTAAGCAGCCATCATTAAACAGCACTCAACCCCTTCTGTATTTTTCCAGACTGTGGTGCTCACAGCATGTAAGCTATCAGCAGGAAGACTGTTTTCAGCTGGTAGACTTTAGAAGTGGCAAATTTGTTAATTTTTTTTTAATCAAAACCAGAAATCAAATCATTCAAATGCCCAGGTTTTTGTTTGTTTCAGCATACTTTTTAGCTTGAAAAAATGAGCTCTTTTGCTCATTCATTCTCAGCACTTCAAGTCTATTTATAATTAAAATTAAAAAGTATTATTTAATAACTTCCAAAGTTAAGTTTCTTTACTATTTTATTTAAAGAGAGGTGAAGGAAATGCCTGTGTATTCTACCTAATACATATAGCAGCCCTATATGAGCTGGGAATATGTTTGTTAACCTCTTTGCTTAAGAAAATGTGTCTGGGCTGTACCTACTTATTCACACACCTCGCTTATGTATCTACATCTCATCCTAAAAGTCAGGTTAGATTGCTTGCCATGCCTGGGATCTGATTTTGGGGAATTTCCTGAGCCCTTTGACTTTGATTCTTTTCTGTGGTAATTGCATGCATGGCTTAGGTGAATTGTTTCCAGAAAAGAGACGATAGAAATGAGTAATTCAGGATTCAGCTGGCAGGACATTTTCATAAGTGCTGTGTTTTAAATAGCCTCCTTAGAAAGCTGGTATGAAAATAGATGGTGATGTGTTTAATAGTCTATGCTTAACTTTTAAATATCGCATATAGCAATAGCCCTCACCTTGAAAAATCCAGTGTAAATCCTGCTTTGGAGAGGTTTTATTAGCCTGCTGACTAAGAACAGGCTGCAGGTACCCAAGGTGCTTTCCTCAGGAGAGTCTGCTGTTTTCTTGCAGACCTGTGTACATGGGCAGATGACCTTCCATAACCCTCACATGACCTTTCAAGGATCTTCAGCTATGTTTCTGACCTTGACTTTGAATGAATATCTATAAGCCTATCAAGAGACAAAGCTGTTGTTATTTAAGAAACCATCCGAAACTTTGGGCAACTTTGAACCTTGGATGTCCGTGTGGGTGGGTGTACTGAATAAATGTTCAGGGAAAACAGCTATGAAGCACAGACTGCTGTAGTACTTTGCTCTGTCTTCCTTCTAACCTTTTGGTACCTAAGCTTGTACGTAAAAGCTTGGCTTCAGGTATTACTAAAGATGTGTGTTCCTAGCTCTGGCAAGTCCGCCTGGTGCTGGAGGAGGAAAAGCACCTTTGTGAAAGTGGCAGCTTGTTCTGAGCAGTATATGCAGGCAGGATGAAGAGACTTGCCTGAAAGAATGTGGCGGGGGGGCTGGATGAGGCTGGCTCAGTGCCTCCTGCGTGGCCAGAGCTGATGCAATGCTGCTAGGAAGTGAGTGTAAGGAAGTAACCCATCTCATGTGGGAAAGCTGAGAAGTAACAGAAACCGCATATTTTCCTTGAATTTATTCTGTATTTAGTTAGAATTTTCATTCTGAATTGGCTTGCTCTTGCTCCTTCCCCTGCCCTTCCTTTCCTTTTTTAACCCTCCCCTCCGGTTGTTTGGTTATGGTATTTATTAAGAGTCAACCTACTCCTCAGGTGGATACAAGTTTTTGAACCCTATCTATTCTATCCCATGTAGTTACTGAAATAATGCCAAGAAGCATAAAAAGTATAAAAAAGCTCTACCATTCAGCTGAACAACAATTTCAAATGCAGAAGATGCAGGTGCAAAATCTGAGTTCTTAACATGACAGGATGATTTATGAGGCACTGTGAAGTTATTTTTTCCTGTCTACTAAATCCATTTGCTTCTGCCTCTGTATAAGCTTGAAAGTCATATCTGTTGCCATGCCAGAATATTATCCTCCCCCTCATCACCCATGCTCTTGGCTTGTGATTGTCAGATTGTTCAGGAGTTCATGCTTCTAGGATTTAACAAAAAAAGCATTGATGATCTGAAGAGTCCATAACCACTATCAGAGGATACACTTTCCAGCTTTTCCTATGAGAGACAGGAGTTGAAGGGCTGAACTAGGTAATGATTTATCCATGGAAAACATTATGATTAGACAGGCTGGCAATCAGCTATGGTATAAAAAAGCAGCTACAGAAAAGGGCTTTTTCTTTCTTGTTGCACACACGAATTCATGTTCTTCCACACCATACATGATGTATACTGAAAAGCAAAGCATAAAAGTAGTCCTAGGAATTACATACTTCCTGAGCTGTCAAAGCAGGAAGCTTAACCAGCCTGCAGTGTAGGGCTATCATAGGTAATGATGGGAGTGTGTTAAAAATGTGTCAGTGTTACATCATTGTCTACCTCTGTCTTAATTGTTTCCGATACATACCTTTAATGGCAACTGTAAATAGGCATATATGGGAAGCTACACATGCTTCCTCTGTTGTCCTGAGTGATTTTCCCTGGGGTAACCTCTGCCTTGCAACACCTGAAGTGATGAATGAGGGGTCTGGGTATCCTCATATTCGCTGTTCATAACCTCACACAAGGCACCATGGAAAGATTGCCATTTTTTGAAGCTGGAGATACGCCTTTCTGTTTAATTCTGCCTTGTTAATAAAAACAAGCCAAAAGTATAGGTTCATTGGATGTTTTGTTTCAGGAATGAGGTAAATCAATACAGGAGGAGGGGAGGTTTCCTCAGGGGCTGGCAGTGGCTTCACTAGAGCCACAATACCAAATCTCTTCCTAGTTCAACAAAGCACAGCTGGCAATATTGTAATTATCAAATGTTTTCAAAACCGTACTAATGAAACATAACTGGAATCTATTAAATAACATAATACTCACTAGGCAAGAAATACTTCTGTTTCAGTGAAGTGCAACTGCTACTCATTGGTGGGAGCCTTTATAATCAATTTATTAATTCACTTACATCTTTAATCTCTTTTTGCAGTGAAGCAAAATCCAAATAATCAAATATGGTCTGTATTTCATTTTCAGTTAATTCATCCACTAGTTTTTAGCATGAAAGAAGTGCATTTTATGGAATTTTTTTTCCTGCTGTAAGATCCCATAATCTTAGAAATTATACAGATGTCTGCCATTTGGGGTTTTTATCTTGTTTATTTTGCAAATCTCAAAGCTTCTAACTACTCTGACACAGATGCCCCCGGCTATGGCAGGTTTCCCACACTGCAAAGTCATGCCTCGTTTTTTGTACCTAGAAACTGTGAGACAGTGTTCAGAGCAACCCAGCGAAATGTCTGTCTCACATCCAGAAATACCATGGCAGCACAAGGCTCAGCTAAGCCATGCACGTAGCAGGAGCCCTGATGCCACCTGTTCTTCCCACACCCTCCATTGCCTGAACTCACTCTAGTGTCTCCCAGAGTCATCCAGATTGCATCTCTGCACCCCTCTGCCAGGAACCTGTTTGTCCATCGATGGGCAACTGACAGTGTCGGAAGAACTAACAATTGATGTGTTTTATGAACTTCTAAACACTGACTTACAATGAATGCCAACACTTAAAAATTGCTCCATAACACCCATCTTATCCTTTCAATCCATTCCTGGTGTTGATTTGCCTCTGAGTTTTGTCCCTTTTGTAATGACCCTCTCCTTTGTTTTCTATCTGCAGGGTGGTTTACAGACCTACTGCTTCCTAGTCTTTGCTGCTGTCTGCTTTGCAGGAGCTACCTACCTGTTTTTTGTGCTGCCTGAAACAAAAAATAAGACATTTCAGGAGATCAGCCAGGCATTTGCCAAAAGGAATAAAGTATCTTTAGAAATGCGAGAAATGAACCACTGCTCGGGGGAGAGGAAATCAAGCGCAGAACAAGAATCAAACTTCACATCTTCGGTGGACAATGGGGAAACCAAAAAAGGGATTGTGTAAACCCAGGATGCTCTTTTAGGGGATGAAGGAAAACGTGCTCTTTCATTCAGTATATTTATAGCAATGCACAACTTATATTTTTGTATGTGACAGCATGAACTGCTTCCTTGTTGAATATGTTTTAAGTGAGTATGGGTGAATGCGTTAGCAGATAGGGTGATGATTGAGGAAATGGAAGGAAGGAGGAGTGGCAGCTGATTAAGTCAGGGTTTTCTTGGGCACCTGTGCAGTAGGTGCTGTGGTGGGAGGATGGGGAATATAGACTGAGAGAAATGAAGTGGTGGTGGGGAGCTGCAGCAGGCCAAGCACCCCTGTGTGCTCACAGAATGTCATTCAAGATGTACGTGAGAATTGATGCCTTGAAAGAAGACTTGTGACACTCCCCTGACCTCCCATTCCCTTTAGACCTATTTTGACTTTCAGTTGCTTTGTCTGAACATCTCCCACCTCCCACAAATGATGTGCTCCAGGTCATGATGGGTTTCCTTGTCTCTCTTGAAAATCCTGATTGACTAGAATACAGTTGCTTCTGGATTCTGGGTTTGCTGGCAATGCATTTCTGTGGAGATATATTTAAATTTTATTTTTTAAGAATAGCTATAGAAGTTTTAATATAAAAAAAAAATAAACCTCAAGGCAAAGTCAGAGAACTCTGATGATATGTGTAAATTATAGCATGTAAATAAACCAAATCAAACACCAAGTGTTCCAAGAGTTAGAGGGGTTTGGTGGTTTATGTTTGCTTTTCTTTTCAAGTTCCTTTTAAAGCAGGTCTTAGGAGGCAAAATTTACCTGAGACCCAGTAGATATCATTGCTTAGCACTCAGATCTCTACGAAGGCATTTGGACACTTATTTCATGATTAAACACTAATTTTCATTTGGGCATTAGATTGTGAAGCTCCAGGCCTAGTTCACGTTACTAAGTTTCTAAGCTATTTAATGCTTTGTAAAACTGTCCTCAGAGTCTGCTTAATTTCATGATAGAAAGGCTCAGTAGGCTACCAAGAGTTGGGTGATCCCTTCCACATGGAATTTTTTTTATGACCATCATCTTTCCAGTTTGTAATTTTGATAATAGGTTTTCTTGATTCTTCAAGGTACCTGGATGCTCAGGAGGTAATAAGCCCTTTTAAATTAAATAGTTAGCTGTTTTCTATGAAAAGTCAGCAAGTTTCAGAGCTGCTCTCAGTTGGGAGTAAGGCACAAGAAGCAAGTGCAGCAGGTAGGTAGGGCCAGCTCCTTCCACAGGTTATATTTACTAATCCAGAAGTTCATACTTTGGAGCATTTGGGGAAAAATGCATATATATTCATATATATATACACACACAATACATATATGAATATGTATTCCAAATAGAAAAATATAGATTAATATGTACATTCATAAACATAGACACATTGGAGAATTTCTTCTCAATATTTGTCTGGGGATTTTTTAAGAGTTCCCCAAGTGGTGACCTGTTCATTGTTTTGTTCTACACTGTAAATTACACTGTAAATCACACTGTAAATCAAAATTAGAGATCTTAATGTTTAGCTATTACTGCTAAATTATATATATGATTTTATACAGTGATTTATTTATATGTGGCATACTTACTGCACAATGGAAGCTGATCAGATAGGGCAATTTCACTACTGGGTAATAGACAAAAAAATTGAGCTGAGCCTTTACACCAGAATCTATGCTCTTTTACTGGGATAGAGGTACAGCAGTAAGGAAATGAAAATATATATGAGCTACTGTAAAGAAACAAACTGAATCAGAATAATACCAATAGTCACCAAATACTATGGAAAAACTGAAGAAAAATAATTTCTAATAATCGCTTGTAAAATTATATATCTGGCAAATGAAGTGGCTTTAGTTGCCTATTCCATGCATTACATGAAGCTTGCTAAGTGAATGGCTAGGTAAAAAATTAGTTTGAATGCCACCCCTGAAGACAATTTCAGGAAGAAACTTCCTCTTCCACCTGCAGGGTGAGAATAGCAAAATCAAACCCTCTCATTCAGATTGAGAATTACCTTACTCTGCAGTTAGGAACACTAACTAACACTTGCTCTGTTGGAACAAGTACAGAGGAAGCCACGAGAATGATCAGGGGACTGGAGCACCTCCCATATGAAGATCAGCTGAGAAAGTTGGGGCTGCTCAGCCTGGAGAAGAGAAGGCTGTGTGGAGACCTCATAGCAGCCTTCCAGTATCTGAAGGGGGCCTATAGGGATGCTGGGGATGGACTCTTCATTAGGGACTGTAGTGGTAGGACAAGGGGTAATGGGTTAGAACTGAAACAGGGGAAGTTTAGATTGGATATAAGGAGGAAATTCTTTCCTGTTAGGGTGGTGAGGCACTGGAATAGGTTGTCCAGGGAGGTTGTGAATGCTTCATCCCTGGCAGTGTTCAAGGCCAGGTTGGACGAGGCCTTGGGTGACATGGTTTAGTGTGAGGTGGCCCTGCCCATGTCAGGGGGGTTGGAACTTGATGAACTTAAGGTTCTTTCCAACCCTAACTGTTCTATGATCTATTCTATTCTATGATCTATGATCAACATGATGTGATGTGAGTCAAGGTGATAAGATTGGAAACCATTATTATTAATCTTATTATTAGGAGAATTTAGCACTTATTGCTCTTCACTAACGTGCATTACAGGCATTACTTGTTGATAATATTGCCTACTGGATAACTTCCATAAAGTGTCATATTGGCCTGAAACAGCAGTTGCATTGAACTTCTGCCACAAGATAAAATCATCATACAGTTGCTTACAGTGCATTATGAGCCCAGCTCCCAATGTCTTGGTACAAGATGGCTCGTTAGAATTTCTTAGTAGTAGCTCAGTGGTTTGTACATCCTTAATAACAGGGGTTGCGTTTTCCTCTTCTGCAACCATTTACCCTTCTCTTGCCCTGCCTAAGAAAGGCACACTCCAGACAGGCACTTTATGTTCAGCTGAAAAAGGAGCTGCTGCACCATGGGACAGTGGTTGAACATCTTACCTGCAGTTTGCTCTAGCCCATGGTACAGCTTAAAAGCAATTCCAGTGTATGTGTGCCAATGCTTCGCTCACTGGCCAGGGGAGGTGGCTGCAATCTCCTCTGCCTTGCATTGTGGAAGGTTCTGAGGAAACCTGTGTTGGTACTGCATTGACTTTCTCATCTCTGACCCTAACGAGAGTTTTGTGATGTTCTTCAAGCTGTTCCATAACGTTTTTTCCCTTTGTTATGCTGCTGCAACTTCTCCAGCAATGAGAAGACAACATGGAAAATATCAGCAGTTTATCATGTCGTTTTTCTTGTTGAATGTACCAGATTGTCTATAGCCTGTGTGTTTGTCAGTGAGTGTTGTGTGGTGCCACGTTCTCTTTTCCTGTCTGTGACACTGACATGAGGCACTGTGAGGTGGTGTTTGTACAAGTACTGCAAGTGGGTTACATGTGTGAGACCAACTATGTCTATGAACAATGACTGCAAAATACACCTTTGGAATTAAACTAAAATGATGTAGATTTTGTTCTGAATAAATCTAAATCTGTATAGCTGTGCACGTTTCATCATATAATTCCCTGGGCTTTTGTATCTCTCAGTACAAGACTGTGCGGTCCTATGTGTGGATGACTTGAGTTGCGAATTTTATAGTTGGGTGTTTGGGAGTTATGGAGAAAAAAATCACCCCTGAAACTGTTTATTTCTTGAGCTTTATTTACATTTAGCTTCTTAAATCATATTCAACACTTATTCTTTTGTATTGGGCTTTAGAAAAAAAATAGAGACATCAGTGCAAGGCAAATGGTACACTGGCTAGCAATGGTAATAACTCTATATAAGGATTGTCAGGTCTGGTGAGGCTTTTTTATGGAAAGTTTTAGTTGAAGTACATGACTTTGAGTTGCTAAAGCTCTACTTTCTGATGAGAAATTCAGTCAAGTGACTATTTCTGCTACAAAGATATGCAAAACCTGGGATCTGAAATGTGTATAAAAAATTGCATTTCATACTTCAGGTTCTGAAGCCAATTTTCACTCCACAAGGATCTGCTTTCTGGTGGGTGAAGATGTGAGTAGTTCAGCCATATGGGACAATTTTCATCTTCACAGTAAAATGAAGAAAATAAAAAAATAGGAAAAGAAATATATATATATATATATAACTACTTTTTGAAATTGCCTTTGTTCCTTTGACTATTCTTATATGCTTTACCATACAGAAATCACCAAATAAACTAGCAGAGCTCCATTCACACAGCAGGAAGAACAAATCTGAGTGAAGTATCCCTAAGGAAACACTTGCAATCTTTTTTCCTTTCAGCCTGACTCCTTAAAATAAAGTTGAGATACAATCTGAAAACCTAAACTGCAGACCCAAACTGTCAAGCGGTTTTGTTAATGCAAGTATTTAAGCTGTTAGAAAACTCAGATTTGGGTCCATGCTTAATTCTCTCACCAAGTGACTTTACTTGGAAGTGAGCCCTCTTAAAAGTTTAATTTCATGGCAAAAGCTTGGTACTTGGACTCCTAATCAACTTATCACAGTTCAATAAGCAATCATGCATAGCCTGAGTCACTACAGCCCTCTTCCTTGCAAGCTAAGCTGTGTTAACCTTGCTTTTTCCATGACTGAAGTGAAAAAGCCAGTGGATTGTTGAGCTCTGTTTTCAGATTTTCCTGCTAAAGCTGCTCTACAGTAAAATTCTTTTAAACCTAAGATTTCAATTTTTGAAAAGCATAAAAGAAAAGCTTTCAGGAGACTTTCATTCAGTGAACAGTGAAGGCAACAGAAATCTCCAGTGGCTTCAAACGTGCAAATGTGCCCAAGAAAGGCATGGTATACATAAAGGAGTTAATAAGCCCAAGAAATCCAGCACGTTTTTATCTTCTTTAGACAGTAAATTGATGGTGTGCTTTCTCAGACTGGGAAAATAATATTATAATTGAAAAATTATTCAGATGCTGCAAAAGCACTGATCTGATGCTTTGCTTGTGAGTTTGGGGATGAGTGGTCAGCTGGTTGGTTGGTTGGTGATTTGTCAAGGATTTTTATTTAAGTGGAAGCACTAGTAATCTGATTTGTATATCAAAGAAGAGTACTAAGCGTGAGGCTGCTGGAGTTGCTGGATGTTTTAAGATAATTCCTGAAACGTAAAAAGCAAAATAGAACTCTGTCAGAGCCCTGAAATACAATACATTAAAAGCATGAGCTTGTAAGGGTGGGAGATAATTTGTCAGCTGCTATGTAAGCTGCCATGCAGAGACATTGATTTTCGTTTCATTTTCTCTTGTTTCTCTCTGTTAAAAAAGTCAGTCAAGCTC